GGAGGGGGCCTCACGCCGCGCCCTGTCAGAAAGGGTGTCTCCTCGCCGCCTGCTGGAGGAGGCCTCACGCCGCGCCCTGTCAGAAAGGGTGTCTCCTCGCCGCCTGCTGGAGGAGGCCTCACGCCGCGCCCTGTCAGAAAGGGTGACTCCTCGCCGCCTGCTGGAGGAGGCCTCATGCCGCGCCCTGTCAGAAAGGGTGACTCCTCGCCGCCTGCTGGAGGGGCCTCACGCCGCACCCTGTCAGAAAGGGTGTCTCCTCGCCGCCTGCTGGAGGGGCCTCACGCCGTGCCCTGTCAGAAAGGGTGTCTCCTCCCTGCCACCGGCTGGAGGGGGTCTCACGCGCGCCCTGTCAGAAAGGGTGTCTCCTCGCCGCAACACATGCAAGGCCAGGAAAGGTGCAAAACAGGGGTGGCCAACCTCATCCGCGAAGGGCCGGTGTGTACGCGGGTGTGAGGACTCTTCAGCCAATCAGTCCTCTAATTAGTAATCTAATTAGGGAACTGCAGTGAAAACCCGCAAACATAACAGCCCTTTCTGGATGAGACTGCCCACCCCCGGTGTAAAATATGTTCTATTTATTTAGCAGACGCTGTCACCCAAGTGCCTGGACCAGTAGGGGAGTTAAAGACCTTACTCAGGGGCCCAAGGGTGACACTACTCTGCCGTGGGATTTGCTCCAGCAACCTTCCGATTCACAGACTCGCACACTAACCCTAATAGGCTGCAAGGGTGGGGGGTCAGATCAGGTGTGCTCAGTACTCAGTGAGGGAGGGGCCTGTACCATTTATTATTATTATTATTATTATTATTATTATTATTATTATTATTATTCCACAGTGACAGTGCTAAAGCCAGCAGCGTGGATTGAGCGCCACACGCTGGTGACAGCCGGTTCCTACCCACACATTCTCCCACCCACTTCCCGCCATGCCGCCAAAGGCCAGAGCGGACGCTTACTGTAGTATCCGTACAGGACCGTGTCCTCCATCTGTGCTCTGGTCTCATTGCTGGCGGCCCACTCCTGAAACGAGAGAGAGGCATCAGCGGGAACGTCGGGCTCGGGCCCACTGCCCGCTGGACGCAGTGCAGCACCATCGCCATGGTGATGCTCCCGCTCATCGCTTAGCTCTAAGTTTGAGGATACAGAGGTGAGGGTTCCACTCCCGGGAAGGCCCGCCCTTGGCCCTGTCTCCTGATGGTGGTGCCATGGTGGGAAGGTGTGGGGGAGGGGGTGTTAGGTCACTGATAAATGACCACAAGTGGGTCCAGGAACCATGAGATACTCCAGCAGAAGCACATGCCTGCAGTTATGTGTGGGGGAGGCAGGCATCTCACTAGTATCACTGCGACTAACACAATCTCACAGCCAATCAGGAAGCAGAAGTACTGGGTTTGAGAGACGTCCTGCCTGTCAGCTGCACTCATTCCACACAGAGCGTAGAGCAGGGCCCAGCCCAGGACCAATCAGTGACAGCGATAAACTGATAGCTGCTTCAGGGATAAAATTAACTTTGGAAACCGTATCACTTCACATGACTCCCCTGTGGCGTCAGTGTTGCTGGGGACCGGGCCAGAGGCGGAGCTGGACAGTGCGGCGCTGGTGATGCGCTGCATGTCCCCGTGCGAGTGGTGAAACAGCCAGGCCCCCACATGGCCCCCACATGGCCCCCACATGGCCCCCACATGGCCCCCACATGGCCCCCACATGGCCCCCACGCCGGGTGGGATCGTCCCCTTATAAATCATGCAGGATGATTCCGCTGCTATCCGGCTTTCGGGGACGGATGAGGCAGCGCGAAAAACTTAAACGGGGGGGGGGGGGGGTCACAGCCACGGCCTCCGATTGGACGGTTTCTCATTCGCCATGCTAATTTCTACGCTGCTCGCATGTGTCGGCTACATTTTAATGACAAGCACGGCGTATTTACACGGGATAACAGCAGCTAAAGGTTAACGACGTTTCTGATCTATTTAAAGATGCGAGCGGAATCTGAAATATGGCTCCGCATAATGAAATGTCATCAAACAAGGGAGAAATCGCCCTTAAATGGCGTGGTGACCACAAATCAAATCGTTCAGCCCACCGGAGAGAAGTACTTTCCTGTTAGCAAACGAAAAAGACCCAGTTACACAAATACTTCAGTTTAAGAAAAACCTACCTATACCCCCTAACGAAGAGCGGAGAGGACATGAGCAGATATGACAGACTATTCTGCGCTGGGTCAGAGTGAAGCCGCCTAGAATAACCAAAGGACCTGAACCGTTCATCACACTGAAATCCAGAGGTTCTGGACGTCCTGCCACTGCAACGCCACCCAAACTCACACTGCTTGTAGTTCCACATTATTGGTGCTTATGATAAAATGATAAAATCTTCAGATAAGGTTAACTGGAAGGTGCAGCGCTCCTTAATGTTCTCTTTTAGGGAATGCATTATGCGGATCTGGATTAGTTCTTTCACTTTTGAGTCCAGTAAAAGGTGGAGACACTCTGTCCTGCTACGTTATTTTACTGTAACTCCCCAATGTCTCATGAAATACATAAGCAAACACTTCCTGGTTCCAGTCCCCCAGTGGTCGCCGCAGTAATAGCCACGTCAGACACTGCCAAATCAGCTGACACTTGGCTATTCCCCCAACATCACCATCCTGTCCTCACGATGGCCCCATGTTTCCTCTCCCAATCTTACATCAATAAACCACCAAGAATCCGCCTTCCTAAGGTTTCCAGTCAGAGGCGTCCAATCAGCCGGAGAGCCCAAGCACCGGCGCAGGTTGAATTTCTCCGGCTCGACCAAGACGACGGAGTATTCCTCCTTTGACCGGACTACTGCACGTACACCCCCACACAACAGTGGTGTCCCAGTTAACGCGAACAATAGGAAAGGTGCACTGTACTGTACTCTCCCAGCTCAGTGTCAGTGTCAGGATAAGAGAAAAACCTGCTGGACTCAGAACAGCTGGCCTAAAAAAACACCAACTGTGTAAGTGATAACACCGCTCTCATGCCAATAAGGATGAAAAGCATGTGCTGTGGACATAAATCTGGGGAGATGCCAGTTCCTGGGGAATGACCTCACATCAGGTTAAGGGCTGATTCGCATTACAAGAATAACATGGCCATAGACAAGACTGCATAGGAGAAGATGAGAGCACTGCTCTGTCCCCTCCTTTCCGAAGCTGACCCCTGGCACGTACCTTATACGTCCCATTGGGATACTTCATGTAGGACACCAGGAAGATGTCCACGGGCAGCAGGGCTGACGTGATGAGTGCGATGGCCAGAGCACATATGGCCGTGATGGTGGAGAGCACCTCGCTCTCCTGGTGACTCTGGTACCTCCGGATGTAGACCCAGCAGAAGGCCAAGATCACCTGTGGGATGGGGGAGAAAGAGAGCGAGGAAAGGAGGCTGAGGCTCGTTCATTCATTCATTCACTGACAAACAATGAAACAGTGAAGGACACAGACACCTTATAATCCACAGGGAGAGAAAACTTTGCACCCAATGGATCTTACTGATCCTTTCTACAGAAAATGTTAATTACAGAGAGAAACAGAGACACAATCAGAAGATACGTTGCTACAGTAAAACTCATCAGATGTAAACACTTCAAAGTGCAAACTAAGGGGGTTCAGTGGGTATGGACGCTTAGTGTCATCGAGCGGATGGTTGCCAGTTCAAATCCCAGGGTCAGCAGGCTGATGCCACCATTGGACCCTTGAGGAAGGCCCTTAATCCCCACCCCCCCACCAACACCTGCCACTGAACTGCCCCCAAGCTTGCCTACACCTATACAGTTTCCTGTTAAGTAAAAGGTTTGGTGTTGGGGCAATGTGACCAGAGCACTACTGAAAAAATGCAGATATCAGACCATCGTTGTACATGTTTTTTATTATTGTTGTTTACTGAAGGCATGCCTCTGTCTACGGAGGTAAACAAACAATTAATGAATATATGAATTAATATAGGCTAGTTATTTTTCAGTCACAGTTATTACTGCATTTTTTTAGTGATTGATAAATTAAGCCCTCGACAGTTTGCCTGTCTCCAGTGCTACACTCAACAATGTAGCTAAGCACAACTGTGTACGTGACATAGGCTGTGTGCAGTGCAGTTAGCCTAACTGTGTACGTGACACAGTATAACTGCACTGCCGTTACACACCCCTGTTACATACGAAACCCGTTCATGTATCAGGTTCAAACACTGCAGGGTAGATAAATATTCATTCCCACTCAGTCTTCCATAACAGTAAAGTAACGTGTCTTCGCATCCGACGTGGTCAACATAGTGAATAAAGAGGGGGAAGTCCCCCCCCCATCCTTCTCGAACACAGTAATCTGTTTCAGTTCCACATTCATACTACTGGAGCCGCGTGAGAAAGTTACCGCTAATGTTACTACAGGGTAGATTAAGGGGTATATTTACCATTTTGCCCCCTTTGCCTCACGACACCATAATGGTAAAACAGCGATATTTATGCGGCTTTCAGTGTGTGTGTGTGTGTGTGTGTGTGTGTGTGTGTGTGAGTGTGTGTGTGAGATTGGGATATAAGAGAATGAGGAGAGAGATTTGTCCCCCCCCCACCCCACCTAACTAAATGCCTGCTCTGCTTACCAACCTCGCCTATTTTTCTTTTCCTTGGAAAATGTCTGTGCGTCTCATAGAGAGTCAGACAGGATAGCAGAAAAAACAGTTTATCCCCAGGGATCAATAAAGTATCAATATTCTACTCCCAGTTTTGAACACATCTTATCAGTTCGAAACAAAGATTTGCATTTTTTTACGTAAACATGAAATAAAGTGATCAGTGAGTCACATTTTTGGTCTATCAGGGACAGCGAGGGCAGTGTTCCATGCTGGACAGGAAGAGGGGACGCATTGCACATCACATGCTATTAAGACACGGTCAAACACAAACCTACTGGGGCGGGGCTGACATTTGCAGACGGGCCAATCACAGCCCTGAGACCATGGAGACATGTGATCAAGCGACAGGTCGAGTCTGACCCCATGTGCGCCCAAGGCACTGCTGGCATAATCAAGGGCAGAGTGTGGGTGGAACATTTCAGGCAAACACATTGGGCAGACAGACAGTGGCATGTTCGGAAAAGACCAGAAACCCGACCAGAGCAGGACACACAAATACGCCAATATGCACAAAAAGCAAGCAGAATTAACATCCAGGTTCACAATAGCTGATCATTCACAGATGAGCCCTGGGTCATTTTCCCGCACATTCTAACACTGACTGACTGAAAAGTTCATTCAAGTAAATGTTTCAAAGTCAAAATATCAGCACAATTACGCTTAGATCAGCTGTGCATAATTTAAAATTCGCTGTTTAATCAAATGTAAAAAAACTTTTGAGTTACAAAGACAAGCAGACAGGCAACTTGAAAAAGAGGAATGCAGATGCGTTTTCGTCCCTCAGTGGGGAGTTTACAGGGCAAGGTAATCCGGTGACAGCCAGTCACGTTGGTGGTCTCACCTGTCATACAACCATATTCACCTTAATACGTGGACTATTGCTTTAAAGATGGCAGAAAGTAACCCTAACCCCGACTGCAGCACTAGTGCGATCCTACACACCTGTCACTGCTGTACCGCATGATTCCCGGAAAAGAGAAACACACCCAGCAGATTAACGCTCATAATAAATACGCAAAGTCAATCAGAATTTATTTTCTCACTCAGAAAATCGAAAAGGCACTCCGTAGCAGTTTCAAAATCGATATGTACACAGTGATCAATAATATATTTGTTCCACTGAAAATCAGCAGCGTGGCTGGGGCCTATGTTTAATTAAAATCTGTGGGTATGTTGTAAGTGCTGCTGTTTTGACGAGTCTGCAGCGGTTCTTTCTCGAGGTACTCAGGTCAGAGAGATTCTGATTTTTAACAGTAAACCTTTCTGTTGTGGAGACGGAGAGCTGATAAGCCCGTCAAACCGAAAGCGCAGGGGCTGTTTGTAAGGAAACAGCAGGAGTGACTGCAATGCAGCAGACGTGTGAACACAGGCGGAAGCCTTAACAAACATCACAGACACGAACAACCCTTTTTGACGTGTAAATATGGACACTGAAATATTATACAGTTCAACCAATGTTTAGTGCTAAACGTACAATTACAAAGCTTTTGCGTCATTAACTTTCGTGAAGTTTGAATGTAATGTAAAAGACCCCAGATTGGACCCAGGCCGGTCCGTTTGAGACCAAGACCCGGGCTATTCCTGATACTTATGAAGCAGTCAGAAAGGGTCCGGCAGATAACCTGGACTGGACCACAGAGCAGAGCGCAGATGGGACCCAGATAATGGCTAAACACAGGGGTGGAGCTGCTATTGGATGTTCATGGGAGATTGTGAGAGAACCTGAGGCCACCAAAGAGGGACCTACAGCCCGAAATCACCGCCACCAAGGCGGTCAGCGTCCCCGTAATCTGCAACCACATGTTCCCGTAAACAGCGTTCCCTCGGACCCTAACACGCCTCGGTAACAACCCACCAGGCGCCCCGTACATGCCGAGAGCAAACCGACGTCATTCGCCGCCATTGCCGCCGTAAGTAATATCGGCCGCCAGCCGGAGCGGAGCCCGCAGCACACGTATGAAGAACAACGACAGCGGGGAAATAAAGGACAGAAAGGCCGTCTTACCACAAGAACAAGCGCGAAAATGCCCCAGCCGAGCACCGACTCTGACAGCATCGCAGCAGACGCCATGTTCACTTCCTGCAACAAAGTCCGGGGGCGGAGCCGTGTCCTCCAGCACTGATCTCGGGTCGGTTTGGCGGCCGGCTGTTGGCGCCTGCGCGACGGATACGTGGGTTTTGGCTGATCACAGATCAGATCATACGTGCTCAGAGACGATGGCGTGCGTCATGACGTATGGTGGGTGGGACTCCGGATTGGATGAACGTCTGTAGAATCAAGGCAATCATTATTCGTATGCGTAATGTTTGTTATAAAAAACATATTTTAATAAAAATGCTTAAAAAAAGAATATACTATAAAAATATATAAGTATTGTCTTATTTAATGCCAGGATTGGAGTGCATTTCCAAGTCAGCTACTCCACCCCATTAACTTAGATTAAACTGATCTGTTAGCAAGGCTCGAGGTGGGTATGAATCCAGCGGGCAGATGACTGGCTGAAAGCCGGCCAGGTAAAGCTGCTCCGTGTGCAGGAGGGGTTCGTGAACTGCTTTCAAAGACTGCAGCAGATGTTTGGTTAATTGAACAGAAAATGGATGGATGGATGAACAGAATACAGTAACAGCACATATAATTGGTCGGTATGGGCTACTGGATTGGGTTATCCGAGAGGTGGAGGGAGAAGATGTTATGAAGAAAACCCTGGAGACATCTTGAGAAAGCGTCCAACAGTGGATGCCTGTGTGTGTGGGGTGTAGCGGGGTTGAGGAAATCCCACTGACATCATACAGTACTGGTCAGCACAGGCAGATCAGACCTCTTCTAGCTGTGAGCCCTAAAGGCCGATTCATACTTCTGACGGAATGTACGCCGTAGGTAACGGCCCCAACGCCGTTACCGACCGGCCGGCGGGCGGGCAGGCGGGCGGAGTTGCGTATGAGGCTACAGCGTAGCTCAAGCGGCTACACAGCTGCATACAGAGCAGATTCTACACAGGAGTAAAAATCAGCCTCAAGGCAAAGAGTAACGGATTTGACAGGAATGCGTAAAAGCCCCCACCTTGTTTTTTATTTTCATTTATTTATTATGCGATGTATAGCTTTGGCGCTGTAAGAATGGCTATAAATGTGAGTTATATATAACCAATGCATAATCTCTTACAGTCTGGGCATATAAATATATAAAACCGTTACCTACAGGCACACGCACGACTACATGCAAGCAAAGGTTTCGGATGCATCTCTTTTGACGTGCTCGGTAATGGCCGACAGCAGAGGTTTATTGTAACAAGAAGAAGATATTTAGTGTTTATTACAGCCAGTGTCTCATTATAGCAGTAATAAAATGACATTCGATTACAGCCGAGTGGCTCGTAAAGCCGGGGGAAAGCAGACAGGCAGCAGGAGGGACAGCCTCTGTTTGTCTTCAGAGATTCAGTGAGCGACGTAAATGCCGCCATCGCTGCAGGCACTGCTGATGAATCCTTAATGCCCCGTAGATGATCGCTGCTCCAACACCAACTAAGAATACTTTCCGCTGACATTCTCCCATGTTTCCCGGACACAGATTTGGGATCAGTGTCTTGTATTTTGTCTAATTCCAAGCCACCCCAATGCCATTGCTGCAAGGCACTTGGCTCTGCTAACTCTGAAAATAGAAAAGACCCAGTCTGACCCCCCCAGCCCTGCCTGCGTGCCAAGCTACTGTAAGGTAATAACACTGTGAATGATACAGGTAATGCAGAAGTTAAACATAATGTAATGAGATGGGCCTCAGTTTCAAGAGGGCAAAACCTAGATTATCTATGAGGCACACAGTCATCTTGAACCTGTCCAATTAATTAACGTAGCTGTGGGAAATATGATATGGAGGCATAAGCCAATTAAAATGATAATAGCAGGCTGACTCAGCTCTGAGAGGGTAATATGCAGCCCTGGGCAGAGATCCGAGGACGGATAGACTGTCCACCCCAGGCCAGATTAAACACCCTGCCATGTCATTAGCTGCAGCAAAAAGTAAACAGAAATAAACTGCTTTATTTCATGGTGTAAAATGGCCTAGTGCAGAACTGGAAACTGAAATCAATATCTCTGCCTTCTACTTCAGTTACAAATGGAAAGACCATGTCAGCGAATGTAATCAAAGCCAAAACCTTAAATGCATCTCTTCAGATACAATAAAAAAGTCATCCTGTTTTATAGTACTGTACAGTAACACCCTGTTATTTTATAAAACAGCACAAGGGGGTGTGGACTGAGGGGCTTAATTGATAAAGATGGGAATTAGCGTGTGGTCTGAGGGGATTCACTGATATATATGTATATGGATAGTTGGGGGTGTGGTCTGAGGGGATTCACTGACATATATGGACAATTGGGGGTGTGGTCTAAGGGGATTCACTGATGTATATGGACAGTTGGGGGTGTGGTCTGAGGGGATTCACTGACGTATATGGACATTTTGGGGTGTGGTCTGAGGGGATTCAGCGATACATACATTTGGGGGTGTGGTCTGAGTACATTCAGCGATACATATGCATAGTTGGGAGTGTGGTCTGAGCACATTCAGCAATATGTATAGACAATCATGGGTGTAGTCTGAGTGCATTCAGTGATACAAATAGATAGTTGAGTGTGGTCTGTTTGTATTTGCTTTTTATTTTTATTGACTAGATGCTTTTTTCCAAAGGGACAAACAAGTGACAAGCAGAGCACATGGTCAGCCAATGTCTTTGGAGCAATTGAGGTTAAGGGCCATGCTCAAGGCCTCAACAGTGACATCATTCTGTCTGCCCCAGAATTTGAACTGGCGATCATCCAATCACAGACCTGCTGAGCCACACAGCCCAGTTCATATGGGAAGTCGACATGCTGCATTTATAAATGGCACTTTCATTTTTTTCTGTAACTAAACCCTAAAACCCAAACAGACACTTCATGCACTTCCTGATTTCTGCCTTGACATATGGTTTTCTTCACACTCAGCATTGGCTGACGTGACCGCGTGATGACGAGCATCCCATTGGTCGCTAGGGCAACAGTGAACACAGGAAGGAACATAAACAGGTGGAAGGCACTCTGGCTACAGGAGAGCAATTACACATCAACCCATTTATGGGGTTTGATCCAGTGCCCTTCCGAGCAGGGGTGGGCAATCTTATCCGCAAAGGGCCAGTATGTGTGCAGGTTTTTGGGATAACCTGTAGGTCAGCTGTTCAAACCCAGGTGTGAGGACTCTTCAGCCAATCAGTCCTCTAATTAGTAATCTAATTAGGGAGTTGCAGTGAAAACCCACATACGCACCGGCCCTTTTCGGATAAGATTGCCTGTTTCCGAGAGTAAGAAATGGATTTTCCTGGGCAGGACAGCAGAACATCACACACATTTTAGGCATGAATTTACTGGGATTCTGGCTTGCGGTGAGAGATCACCAAGGGATGGTGACCATACCATCGGGGCTGAACATCAGAAGGCAAAAAGCTGGCTGGCAGCAAGTCAGGGTAAAAATGAAAATGAAAATCAGAGTAGAAAGACAAGGAAGAGAGAGACCGCGAGAGCTCCAGAATGGCACCAACACTGTACAGTGAAGACTGTACTAACACTGTACAGTGAAGACTGTACAGAAAGACTGAGTGCCAGTAGCTGCCCATGGTGACGGAAACCTGCCTCTGTACCTCAACATTCTCATATTGAGGCAGCTCTGCACAGGAACATTTTCTCATTGGTTTTGCTAGATGCAGCAGCATTTTCTCATTGGTTCAGCTTTTCACAGAAGCATTTTTCTATAGTTTCTGGTTTACAAAGCAGTGTTTTCTTATTGGTGCTGCCCTATGTAGTGGGATTTTCTCATTGGCTTGTCTCTATGCAGCAGCACTCCCTCATTGGTTTTGCTCTATGAAGCAACACTTTATTAATGTGTCTGGATTTATGGCAGCATTCTCTCATTAGCTCAGGTCTACATAGCAGCATTCTCTCATTGGCTCAGGTCTACATAGCAGCATTCTCTCATTGGCTCAGGTCTACATAGCAGCATTCTCTCATTGACGTTCTGGCCAATGCAGAGGACACGCCTTAGGGTTTAGCTGAAGAAGCCACAGGGTCTGCAAAAGCCATGTGTTGATTATATGTTTAATTATATGTTTAATCGTTATTGAATTGTATGGCCCAAGCTTAGTGTCACCTGTATATGTGTTTATCATGTGTCTCACAGAGAGCAGGACGGGGTAGGCAAAAAGAGAATTTCCCGATAGAGATAAGTATATAAAGTATATAAAGTATCACTATTCTATTATATTCTATTATATTCTATTCTACTAACTGATGCATCATGCTGCCACCTGCACCAAAAGAAATTCCTTGTATTTTTGTGTTTTGCAAATAAAGTTTCTGATTCTGAACTGCAGAAGGCCACCAGAAGGGATGATCCAAACTCCCTGAAGCTCATTGAAAGCTTTGTACTCGTAACTGCAGATCTAAAAGAGGGCTTTGGGAGATAACCGCCGAGGATCCTTGTGTCGGCCTAAAGCACCACTGTGAGGCCTTGGTACACTGCCATGGCCGCAGGGCTCGCTGAAAACGCTCCACACCGACTGAGGTGCAGTCGTGTACTGAATTAAAATTTCATGTAGTTCTGCATAATCTGCACTAAATTACACACACCTTCCTCTAAATCAACTGCTGCATATATACTCAGACCCCATCATCTCAACTAGCTTGCTAACCTGCATTTGGCAACAGTGTTTGCAGCTCAGACTATGGGCCAGCTAACATAAGGCCAAGCAGATTTGTGACCCAGCATGGGGCTGCACTATAACCTTAATGTTGGTCAACTCCCCCTAGTGGTGACTAAACACTGTTACAGGAGTCACTGATAATGTCTTGCCCACCTTTTCCCATGCTATTGGTATTTACCTTTCCCCTGCAGAGCTTACAGGCTAGAGCAAATTAACAGATAAAGAGGACCAATGTACTTATACAACCAGATAGTCCAACATATAATCAGTAAGTAGAACTTTAAAAAAAAAATCAATGAGATATATATATATATATTTATATATCTTTTATATATATATATACACACACACACACATACATACACAGATGAAGATTCAGGGAGAGGTCAGTGTAGCCTTTGGTTTGAAAGTCTCTACATTTTTAATTATTTCGTCGGACACAATAATAAAATGACAGCATCTTTCCAGTCAGAGGGGCCCACATATAGAAGTGTGTTATTTCCCATCATAAACACAGAAAACCAGTTTTAATGAAGAGTGTGAAGACCTTTAAAATGCTGCTATGTCATTTCTGCTACTTCATGCGGGAATAAAACATTGTGATGACATATTTATTTGTGCATTTTTCATGCGTAGTAAGTGCAGAACAGAAGGTCACAAAACACCACTGATTACAATATTTGACCATTAGAGCACTGGGTGGCCCTGGTACCATAGCAGCCAGACTAGTGAATCTTCAGAGAAACAATCAGCTGCAGAGGAGTGACCAGCAATCTGGGGCATAGAGGAGAGACACAGGTCCAGATCAAACAGGAACAGAATTCTGAGAGTCCAGCCAAGTTGTATGTGACCATTATCTTCTCTTAACTGTTTATGCAAATGTCTGTACTGCATGTACTGTATGAGAGCCATTGACCACTGGAGACAGATTTCCTGTGAGTGAGTGTGAACATTTGGTAAAATGAACCACCCAATTCTGGGATTTGAACCAGCAACCTTCTGATTACCTGGAGAGCATCCAAACCTGTGGAGCCACACACCCCTCCAGAAGGAAACAGCAACGATGTGTCTGGGTGGAGGGCACCGGTGAGAATGGGTAAGGGCATTTCATCATGGCAGTCTGCAGGTAAAGACCCTGACAGAGAAGGGCATATGAGCTGGTGGTTGGACGTGATAAGATAAACTGTCATGCAAGTCAGCCTCTTTTGGTCACAGCGGTACCAGATCCAATAAATGCCTGCAGTAGGCAGGATCAAATAGCCCGGGAATTTGTGGGATTTAATTAGACATAACATTATACAAGACATCACATTTTAATGTTCGGGACATTAAAAAGTCGTAATTCAAGTGCTCCGGAGCCAACATAATTCCGGATGCAATGTAGATGCATTCCAAGCCTGGGGCATTTGGGGCTGTAACTGTGAATGAATCCGAACGATCCCTGAGCCACTTGTACATCTCCGATGTTTTAACAACCATGCTCTCATTTTGGGAACTCTCGGACAGATTTGGTCTCTGGGCTAAGACCCTAGCAAGTCCCCTGATGCAATGTATCAAGATTAATATTGTGTGTAAAAGTGAATTTAGGCGTGGTGTCTCCAAGGGCTCCTATAGATACAAACACCATCTACATTTAACAGCGATATGCGCTTTAACTTCGTAAAACAAAGCCAGGAGCTTCGTAGAAAAACGAATATTTCCGTAAAAAAAAAAAAAAACATATTTGAAAAGCTGTGTATTTCTAATTTGTGCGTAACCCTTTATGGCAATATGCGAATTGGGGACTTCATACGCGGTCCAGCTTCCACACCATACCAAGAAGTTGCGAAACGTCCGATGGAGGTATTTGTGTCAGGCAAGACTAAAATAGTCACTTAGGGGACTGGAAGAAACTACGAGCAAAAGTCCATTTCAGTGCTTTGCATGCAGGGGGAGGCGCGCAGCTTTCGCCCGGAGGTACAGCACCTGCGGGCGGTGTGTGTCTCCATTAGGATGCTCTACAGCCACCTTTCCCGTTTGTCCCCAAGCTGTAGGAGCTGACGATGTACTTTCCAACCTGTGAAGGTAGGGACTGCAGGCACAGCAGGGCTCATTGAACGGATTTTGCCTGCTGTCCCCTTGGACATTTTGCCTTTTCTTTTTTTCAGACGTGCTTTTTCTCCAACGTAGGCAACTTTTACACAAGGTGTATGAGCTATCTGCCGTCTTTGCGCTCCTCATCCCGACGTGTCTGCTGTATGTACTCTAGTAATGAGTAAGTGGGAGGGTCAGTCGCCGCGACTAATAAGGACAGCGATCCAGCAGCGGATCCCATTCTGACTTTTTATTCCCAGTGCGCTTGGAGACGCTCCCGTCAGTATGCGCGCTTCACGCCTCTAGGCTCTTTGCGCCTTGCGGGAAACTTTCTCTTTGCATGTAAGTATTTGAGAACCGGGCTGGTTTCGCTCTGCTGCTTATTCTCGGGGTGTTAATGCTGAGACATGCGTTTCATTGAGGCTGTGGGACTAAGTGCAGGCTGTTACCCGTGTGCTTGGTGAGTGTGTGCCGCCGGCTTCCCAGCTCGCTCCCATTCACCTTCCTCACCTCGCCAGTGTCTGGTCTTTACGTGCGCAGTCACGCTCCGGCTGTCGGGGAGCTGAGGAGGTGAATTTGGCGAATCGTTTTTAACGGGCACATAGGGACTTTGAATAGTAAAACGTTAAAATGTGTAACGAAAGCAGATGTTGCCAGTTGCTTAATCGGGACAAATAAAGAAGAAATTGCAAAGTGAAATAATTGATTATATTGAAGCCTCGGATTTGTCCCGCGCGGTGTTTGCTTTGAAACAAGTGTCTGTTTTCCTGCAGCGACACGTCTCCGCCCGCATGGTACAATTAACTGGGGAGCAAAGTGATCCTCGGCCAGTACAGGGTGATGGACACATTGGTGAAATATTTGGCTTCTTTCCATGTTCGTTTCACAGGAGGTGTGTGACTGAGTGTGTGTGTGTGTGTGTGTGTGTGTATGAGGGTTCGACCACGTCACTTCTTAAGCACTGTGGATCCGAGACGGGTTTTCATCGGGTTCGCGTTTACGGTTAAGCGCGGAGCCGTGAGATCCCATAGCGTGTTGGAATGTACACAAAGCGGGGAAATACGCACCAATAAATGCTGAATAAATGTTTTATCAGCCCTGTAAGCAAACCACCTGCTGCTTCAAGAGGGGACCTGGCTGATAAAAGCGCTTTATATTCCGTGGAGGTGCGGTTATTTGGAGGCTGAGGAGTTTGTGAAATGTAATCCTGGAGGTCTTATTTCACAGGCCAGCGCTACGTGGTTGGCATTATATGACTGTCATTCATAACTCTACTGTTACGGGAGAGATGGTCTCGGCGCGGTTAACCGCGGCTTTCTACGGTCAGGGCTGAGCTCAGTTACTCATCGCTGCGCTGTATTACCACAGAAACACGTCATGGTCACCTAAAAGACCAGCATTTAAGGGCCTTTCTGTCATGGCCGAGCTTGGTTACTCATCACTGCGCTGTATTACCACAGAAACACGTCATGGTCACCTAAAAGACCAGCATTTAAGGGCCTTTCTGTCATGGCCGAGCTCGGTCACTCGTCGCTGCGCTGTATTACCACAGAAACACGGCATGGTCACCAAAGTTCCGTGCTCTTTGTTTCAGAAAGCAGCATTAAGGTCCCTTTCTCTGCACAGGCTTGTGGGGAGGCACGCCATGGGTGTCCGCCTCTGCTGGGTTCTGCTCCTCTGGCTGGCCCCCCTAGGCGCCGGGATGGCCTTCAGCGAAAGCTCTGGTACCGCATCTCCTAATTCACTTTGTCGCATTAATATTCATGCGCTTTTAAAAACAATGATGAATTGCCTACATTGTAGTCAAACTTGATTTGTTGGTAGGGATAGAATTACAGCCTTCTGTTTAATAACTAACACCTGTGAAATAATGTTTTTATTATAATTAGCATTATGAATATGAATTACTACAATAATGGCATTTTTAGTCAGAGGGTAATTTCTGAAATCTTAGATGATAGACATTATGATTCCAAGATAAAAGAGGACTGTTGCTGTTAAAGTGAAAGATCTAATTTGCCTGTTTCCTCAGGCCTATTTTCAGTGCTTGCAGTGAACATTGGTGACAGTTAATGAAGGATGGTGGGAAGGCTTTTCCGTCAAAGAGACATCCTCTGTGACTCTTTATGCCTCTCTAATGTGAAATCTCCATTGCAGGCCTGCGGATCCAGGCAGGGATGGAGATGGTGTTTAGGGCAATTCAGAGCAAGGGTGTATGGGTGCGGGGGGCTTGGGCTGATTTGGTCCATATCAGTGCCGAAACTAAACCTACGGCCTGGGTTCCGAGGGCAGGACACATCACAAGCGTCAGATTATGAAAATGAAATAAGTTGATGAAAATGAAATTAAATGAAATGAAATAATGAAATGATGTCCTCAGTCCTGGTGTGGGGCCGCTTGGTGCATAACGTCTAATCTAGTTTTATTCAGCGAAAGATGGAGTAGAAACACACAAAAGTCTAGTATGCTGACTGTCGCGGACACCACTCTACAGCGAATAAGCGTGTCTGCAGGGAAGGCAGTCGCTGGCATGTCTGCAGGGAAGGCAGATGCTGGCGTGTTTAGGCAGGTCGTCAATGATTCTGACACCGGACTCCACTGCAGACCGGAAATGCGAGTCCTGCCGCTTTAATTGGGCCAAACTGTCACCATGTTTTCTGCAGTTAATCTGTTTATAAAATGCTGTAAAGTTGTTTTGACAGTTGAGGAGCTTGAGCAGTGATGTGAGTAGTTTTAATTGGACTCTTTCTGCTGATACACGCCTTAGGTACATTCCTTACAGTTACGGATGTTTTTATGTTGACGCTAGTGAAACTACATATACACGCTAGTGAAACTACATATACACGCTAGTGAAACTACATATACACACTAGTGAACCTACATATACACACTAGTGAACCTACATATACACGCTAGTGACACTACATATACACGCTAGTGACACTACATATACACACTAGTGAACCTACATATAC